TAACTCTTAATAAATCAAATGATATGATGCATAAATGATATATATTGTATGCTTTATAAAGTGCGAAAATACACCTTTTCATCCTAACTCATAATGTGAAAAATGAGGATATATTATATTTGTACAATCATAACAAACTCGTTTATAATGACTATAATCATTAATTAATAATTTTTTTTTGAGAAACTGATACTTTGTTTAGTTAACTTAGATCATTATTGTAACGATTGCTCTGACTACTAGTTTTCAAAGAGAAGTTTGTTTATTTGTTTGTTTAATTACATGCAAAGCAATTGCTTGTCATAGGTCATTTTGTGCGACGTAAAGTATTAAATACATATTTTTAAAGCTAACTTGGTTCAAATATGGATAAGATTTTTTGTAAATAGTTTACTAGGTAATAAGATTTGTAATAATAATATTATTATATAACGATTCTTTAAAAAAATCAAATATGGCACACGTATATAAAATTATAAATATTCTTACGGTCTTACCTACCCATTAACTATATTCCAACAGTTTGAATAAATTCTTGAAAATCTCCGAAAAAGTGCTGTAAAAAGAATTAATAGATAAAACAGCAAATGTGCAAAGGACAAAAAAAAAGTGATATTCGTGACTGCATCAGGTACAACCCTCCACAGCATCAGCATATAAGTCAAAAAGTACTACTTTAACTATTTATTTGCAAAAGGTCATAAATATCCCTCGAAATCGAATCACGGATAAGCTTTGCCCTGCTTTTAGGACTATTTAGTATTTATTTATTTATTTATTTCTAAACAACATCACTTTTGGGCTCCTTTTCTTTTTTCAAACTTATTTACGATAGATTAAATAAAAAATAGGTGAATATTTGTTTGTTGTGGCAGAATAAGTTTATATAAATTATATAATTAAAACTTAATAAGTAAATAGTGAAAATAATTTTGTTATTGATATTATGTATAAAATAATAATTTTTAGGTTAATTATAAAATCGTAACGATTTTAAAAAAAAAAAAAAAAAGAAGAAGAGATATTAGAATACTTTAATCAAGAATAAAAAAATACTATCAAGAAGGATTAGATAATTATAATCAGATAACTAACTCTAAAAAGACTAATCTTGTTTTCACTATATATAAATATTACACCTTGGTCATGAAAAAGACACATATCACATGAAATTAACGTGTAAAAGAAAATGGATATATTTTTCACTTTATAATTACCATATAGCATTCATAGTTACATACTCAAAAGATGATTGATTACAAACACATTTCAGAATGTTCTTAAAGTGCTTATGTGGCAATGATCTGAGCTTCGTCTCTAAACTTCTTGTAAATATCTCCATTGTAGAACTTTCGAGTTCTTATCACCAAAATCAACGAAGATAAACCACCAAAGCAACAAACGCAAGCCAATATGATAAAAGACGACCTGTAACAATGGTTGCCCATGCAAACCAACTCTTTAACTGCTGACCTATCTAACCCTTTCTTCGCAAGCCCCTTCAATGCTTCTCGATCATACAATGGCCCTGTAACCCTAACATTCAAGATGTAAGATCCCAATGGGCTTCCCAATTGCCCGCAATTGAACAATGTCGAGTAGTATTTCAATCCGAAAAGCTCTGAAATGATGGCAAATATTAAGGGTAGTTGTGCCCCAAATGAGAATCCGATGATGATGGAAGCGACGTAGACAGATCCCGGAATCGGAAAAGCAATCAGGAGGAGGCCGGCGCAGGAGAGGAAGAGTACAAGTGTGAACATTAGTGTTCTTGGGAATTTGTATTTCACCAGGAGGATTTCAGATACGAATCCGGCGAAGATCCGCCCAAAGTAATTCCAGATACTTAAAAGGGAAACGAATGATTTTATCGTCTTTGTGGGGTAACCTAAAGATTCGCCGATTTGACCTAAATTGTCTACCGCAGTTAAACTTGTTCCAAGCCCACAAAAAGTTGCAACAAACAGAATTAACATGTCTGTGCTTAAAAGTGCTTGAAGAATACTGTAATCTTCTCCTCTTTCAGGCTTATTCAAGAACACATTAGCAAAACAAGATGTTTTCGCTATTGGTTTTGAATTTGGATTATCCAGTTCCAATGATGTGGGATTTGTGGATTGATGTTCATGATTCTGATTCATATTCTCAATCTTAACGTCGGGAACGATAACTGGTTGGTGTTTGTTTCTCACCCAGAGGTTTAATTCCTCTTTAATGGCCATAAAAAGGGGGACAAAGAGTACGAAAATTACCACAGAAGCACTACCAGCGTAAGCCCTTCGTGAAAACGTCACAATATTCTGAGCAATCGTCATCCCCATTATGAACAATGCTAGAAAAATCGAGACGCATAAGAAACGGTAGAAGATTCGGAGCTCATTCGGTTGTCTCACCAGGGTCATCGCTCGGATCGTATATACAAACACCACAGAAATCGCCGCCGGGAGCCAGGCAATTAGCAGGATTAACGATTTCGAATCGTTCCCATAAATAGCCAAGTAGATTTGAGTCATGATGGCTCCACTTAATCCTGTGAAACCTTTCAACAATCCCAGAACAACTCCCCTGCTTTCCGGAAAATTACAGACGGTTGTCACCAACGCTCCGGTGTTCGCAAAGTTCTGTGAATTCGCTCCGATGCAAATGTATAAACACATCTGCCATACTTTAGGTTTCGCAATTCTGTTTGTGACAGCCAACCATATCATGAAGTAACCGCCAAAATTCAACGCAGAGCCGAGTAAGAGCACGAACCATGTCGGAGTGACCTCCGCAATTAGGCCGGAGAGAACACCGACGTTGGCACCAAGGTCTTTGAAGAAGCCTAGGAGGTTGAGGGTGGTTTGATCGTAACCAAGGGAGGATTTGATGTCTTTGGAGTAGACGCCAAAGAGGTAAGTCGCTCCGGCTCCGGTCATGACTAAGAAAGAAGCGAAAAGTGAGAACCAGCGGCCGCGGATTACATGGACGGCAAACGGCAAACTTGTGGCGCTGCCGGCGACGGAACCGGAGGTGGTGGTTGAAGGCGCTTCCCCCATGTTTTAGGAATATTTTGGGATGAAAGGTGGAAAGTGTGAGTGAGTAGTGAAGAGTGGGAGTTACAGAGATATATATAGAAAGGATATTGTTTTAAGATTTAGATGGGTTTGGTTGTAGGGTTGTTTGGATCATCTATTTAATATATTTTATTTTATTTTTGGAAAGAATTATAAACATAAATATATATAATTATGTGTAACTGCTTTTATGATTTATAGTCTAATTATATACATTAGTACGTAATTACGATAAATTAAATAATATAATAATTAGATTGAAAAATGAATACGAAAAAAATAATTCAATGCAGAGTGTAGAGACCAATTTTCCTAAACTAACGTGATAAACTATTAAAATAATAAAATTGAGTTCACAATCTATATTTTCGTTTAAAATATTTTAAATATATCTTGGTCTTATAAAAATCTAGACGTCCAACTTATAAAGTTTTTACGATTGTCAAATTGCGTTTTATCCAGCTTATAAAGTTTTTATAAAATTAAGATAAGTAAGTAACAACTATTTTTTTTTGTTTGTTTTATTGACGTCATGACTTTTTTTATATATTTATTAAGATATTATATTTATGAAATCTATTTTCCTAAGTTATTCGATAACTTGAGTCTTTTCGCCGATAAATTTGCTGAGTTTTGCAAAATTATCCATTATGTGATATGAATATTACATTTCTAAAATATCAAATTTATAGAATAGACGAACAACCTATTTTTTTATATCCCAATATTATAAAATAAATCTTTTTCAGGGATAACATAAATAACTACCAACTTCATTATAGTTTTCGAACTCTATTATTATAACTAGAAAAGAAGTCCCGTTCCGCGGGGTTGGATTCGACACTAATGTCAAAGATAACCGATGGAAGACATTACGTTAAAGATGGTGTCATCGTTTATCAATCGTTTGTCATAGAAGTAGGATGCTATAATTGGTTGACTATGAAGGTATGATGCTTAAAAAATGAAGTAAAGTAGAAGCAAACTGTGATATAAAACACATATGTTGGGTACAAAATCATTTTAACTAAATTTAGTCAAAGGCAGCACCAGTCCAACTGCTTCCTTTCGTGGGTACTGCTTCAATTCCTCCTCCTTGACCTTTATCAGGTCTCCCTTGTAGCTTCAAACCCAATGGAATCTATAAATGAAGGAGAATAATAAAATGACCAATATACCCTTCAAAAAGTTAGACTGCATAAAAATGCATTTCGTGGACCTCATTCTTTGTTATTACCTTCTATGCAGTCGGTCGGGCAGACCGGTTGATTGCTAGACATGCTATGATTTTTGATACATACTGTTTTAAACAATCAAGTAAAGCCGACATATTTTACTTCATTTTCCCAAATTTCATATATAAATAAAAAAAATTACTATAATATAATTCTAATATGACAATTGTATAGTATAGCAATTGTATAAACACAGACAAATATATCAAAATATCTCTTTGAT